TTGGTTACTGAGAGGTAGAGGCAGAGTTCAAACTCACATCTGATTCTAAAATTTGTTGTTTTTTATGTTAGAACTTAGGTGGGGTCTTTTTTTGTTTTGTTTTTGTGTTTTTAATTCAGGGCAAAAGTCCATTTTTTTGGACTAAAGGCTGCAAACTTCAAAAAGTGAAATAATATTCCCTTTAAGGTTTTCTACCTTCATATGGTTTCACTTTTGATAATTAGCCAATAGTGCTGTATGTGTGTGAGTGTGTGTGTGTGTATGCTTTCAGCAATTTAGTTAATAGTTACATTTTTTTAATTTTAAGGAAATTTTTAAAAATTAAAAAATATTGTCTTACTACAGTACTCAAATGATTGGATTTAACCACCAAGTTAGTGATTTTCAGCATTTTTAGAGTTGTGACACCCTGTTAGGCTTTGATTTTGGTGATATCCCTGCTCTAGCTCACCCTTCAATGTTGTGTGGTAGGTACTTATTGATATTTAAAACAGCTCTGAGAGTTTATGAAACAAAAGTTAGAATGCTACAAAATTAGGGCTGAGAATTGTTGCATAGAAAAAATTATTTTTCGTGTGTAAAAGTGATTATTTTAATATGGTGGGATGAAAACATCATAGGATTGGATATATACTGTGCAACTATATTTACATAGATGAGACTAAATTTTGGTGAATTCACTGGAGAACACATCGGAAAAATAGGAACATAATTTGATCAGGTAGCAGTCCTCCCAAGATTTTGTAAGTATGGTTAATCAGCAGCTTACATTTTTCATGATTCTGGTCATAAGTTGATCCTTTAGAATAATGATTTTAAAATTAAAGGAGAGAAAGCTCAAGGGGAAAAATTAATATAGATGGTCTGACACTCATATAGGTGGCAGTGGAAATCTCAATCAGGCTTTACAGCTAAATCCATAATGCTTTGTCCAGCTCACTGGAGTTAAAACCTGTGCCCATACACCCCAGAATTGGTAGTCTCTTTGTTTATCAGATGGGACTTAATTTTGTATGGTCTCAAGAATTTAACATTCACATAGTTCCATAGTTCCATTAATACATAGCCAGTTTCCAGATGGCAGGATGTATCACAAAGTGAGTAATAGTGATTCTGGGAAGAACATGACTAGTTGCCTCATCTCAAGAAGTAAAGATGTGGAGATGGTGCTCAGAGGCCTGCTTTCCCATGGCACCCTGAGGCCGGTTCCAAAGGGGCCTGACCCTACCTTAGTGCATCGTCTTCCCTGGACCTCTCTGCACCAGAGGGTTTAGATTTAGTCACAATGCTCTCACCTTGGTTCAGGTCTCTATGTTTATTTTTAAAAAGGATTTCCTTTCCTCTCTCCCTGTTTTTCCCCCTCCTCCTCTTGAGTTAGAGATGCCCAATTCTGGAGGTCCCAAACATGCTCTTCAGTCTCCCAAGAAGTCTAGGCAGCACTTTCCAAATCAGGATTGGCTTCAGAATCCCCTGGAGTGGGTGGGGGAGAACTTGTAAAAACTATCGGTCTCAGACTGTACTTAATCTGGTTGGAATGTTTTCAGTTGCAAAAGGTATAATGGAAGAGTAGCCAGAAACTATTTATTTATGTATTTGTTCAACAAACTTTTTAAAAAATATATATCTTTATTGATTTCAGAGAGAGGAAGGGAGAGGGGGAAAGAGAGAAACATCAATGATGAGAGAGTCATTGATCTGCACGCCCCCCAATGGGGATCAAGCCCGAAACCCGGGCATGTGCCCTGACCGGGAATCGAACCCCGATCTCCTGGATGCTAGGTCAATGCTCAACAAATATTTTTGAATGGCAAAGATGCAATGTGCCTAGCTGTGTACTAGATGCTGAAGATCCAGCTGTAAATAGAAATGACCTTTGCCTTTGGGGAACTTGCAGCCTGGTGGGAACTAAGTGGGAAAGATGAATGGGTAAAGAAAGAAGGCACAGAAGAAGGAAAATTTAACTGTGCTCATGAGGCTCAAAGAAGCTGGTTGTGGACAGGAGCTTGTTTTAGGAAAACAGGAGTTTTTCTAAGCAAAGACAAGCGTGTGCAAAGGTATGGGGATATGTCCTGGGAACTGCCCATGGTTCCGAGTGGGGGGGATGAAGTAAAAGTAGCCGTCGGTGGTAAAGGAGGAACACAAGAAAACGTCCCAGGGTTAGAAGACACGGGGTACGGACAGAGCTCGCTGGGTCCCCGCTGATGAAGGCCAAAGACTCACCCCTGAGCATAAGCTATTAATTTCAGGGTTCCAGGGATGAATACAGAGCCTAAAAGCTTTCAGAAAGGAGAAGATACGTAAAGAGGATTAGTAACCAGGGTAGCAGCAGGCTGCTCTATGGCCACATTAGAAACTACACTATGAAGTAATACTTCCGAAGTTGTTTCCCACCTAGAATTACATACCCGGCCGGGCTACCAATCAAGACGTTTTGTGACACACAGATTCTCAAAAAAATTACATTTGGGCTACTCTATTCAGGTAGCTACTGGGAGATGGGCACTGTCGAAACAAGAAAGTAAACCGAGAGAGACGCCAGGAGATCCAAGGACGGGCTCCAACTGGAGAATGTGAAGGAAGCCCTTGGGGTGGTACAGGGAAGGGAAGCCCCAGCCCAAGTCAGGCCCCACAGCAACACTGCAGCCGGACTGGGTCCAGACGAAGGGTGCAGGAGCAATGTCTCAAAAAATAAATTAAAAAAATTACCTGATGTCTTTATTGAGAGTAATTTTGCAGTTCTTGGGAGAGTTTGATGAGGTTAATAAGTGTTAGATGTATAAAAAGCTAAGCAAACAACAAAAACAGAGCAACTACTAACTCTAGGAGAAATAGAAGCTTATCCAAGAAAGGAAAAGTTATTGAATTCCACATAGCACTCCTGGAAATAATATTTACTTTGTCAGACTACTGTAAACCCTGAATATTGACTAAACTAAATGTTACATTGTAGTTGGAAGCTGGGAGGATTAGGCAAGAGTGACATGTTGTGTGCTGAGAGGCAAGGAGTAGTATATGAGAACTAAATCCTTACCTTCCACAGAAAGAAATTAATAGATAATATCTAAAATGGAACAACCAAGGAAGAGCAATATAAACACATTTTTTAGAACCATGGAGGTAAATACTAGAAGAAAATGTTAAAGGAGTTGAAATTAGTTCCCTATGGAGAGAGAATTGAGTGGGGGAAGGGGTGGGGCAGGGGGGTTCTAATTTTATTACAAGCTTTATAGTTCTATTTTATTTCTGTACTTTGATAAAAAGAAAAATGATTAATAAAAATATAGAACCAGCATCTAACACTGAGGGAATCTTGCAAGTGGTGTTTTGCATCTTGTTGAATAAACTTTTTAGCTTACATGTTCCGTGTACCTACCTTTGGCACATTCCTAAATTTTATCCATACTTTTTTCTTTTCTGTGATGAACTAAATATGAATTGAAGCAAAAGTTAGTAAGGTAAATTACTCACTCAAGTGTGTATGTGTGGATTGTACCTGGATACTGTGGTTTTCCCCCTGTATTTTCCTGTGGACTCTAAGCTGTCTTTCCAGCCTCAGAGGATAAATAAACAGGCTGCTCTCTTGCCTTCTCCCCAGAGTGGAGCAGGGCTTGACTTCACACAAGAAACCAGCATTCTTCAGTGACCTGATGTTCCTAAAATGGGGTTGCTGGTCTCTGAGCTGTTCACATCACAGCAAAGCAGCAGGTTGTCAATTTGAATAGATATAAATTGCCTCCTCCACCTTTTTATTTTGAAAATTATCAAATTCCACAGAGAAATGACAAGAGTAGCAAAACCCCAAGAACTTCCACCTAGATTTGCCGGTTCTTAACATGTTGCCACATTTGCTTCCCCTCTCTCTGTACCCACACATTTTTTGAGGGGTCAGGGAGTTGAATCATTTTAAATTAAGTTGTAGATATCGTACTTTCATATGTCTCCCAGCATATCGCCCAAGAACAAGGCCATCCACATACAAAACCAAAATACCATTACTTGCCATCGATAATTTAATATTGCCTAATCTGTAGTAGATAGTCAGATTTCCCTAAAATCCCAGTAATTCTTCCTGTAGATTTTTTTTGGATCCAAAATCTAGTGGTCACACACCTCATTTAGTCATCATATTTCTCTAAGTCCTCCTTATGCTAGAGGCTTCCCTGCCTTAAAAAACAATCCTTCATGACATTGACAGGTGTGAGGAGCCCAGGCCCGTTGTTTTGTAGAATGTCCCATACACGTGAAGTTGTCTTTCTGCTCCCTCATTGTGAGATTCTGGTTTATAATTTTGGCAAGCGTACCATACACAAACTCTCTTATCCACCTGCTTTGCTGCAGGTTCAGAATTGTAGTGCTCTGTTTTCTTGTTTGTATGTGTTTGTTTTGTGTTTCCTGCTAATGTGTGGTTTGGCCTGGGGTGTGAAAGGTGAACACTTACCTGGTGCATCGTAAAACACCTGAGACTGCAGAAAATGTCACTGTAATAATGTCTGGGAGGGGACATCTGTTCCTCTGGAAACAAGCATAATATTTTTTTAAAATATTCTTGGCAGAGGTCTTTGGATGACTTAATATACTGTAATCAGGGCAGGTTTTCTACTCTTTAATTAAGTTTCTGCTATAGGATACAGTCCAGGGAGCCACTTTGGAAAACACTTGGCCGGCTTTCCTATCATCCCTACGCTGAACGTTTTTTGCTTTCGGGCTCTAAGCACTGACTGTGTGTTCAGTGTGCAGCCTTTTGGCTCTCCTCGCCGGGATGCTCAGTTGCTTAGGTTATGTGTATTTTGCGTGAAGTGAGCACAGCGTGCGGAGATGGCGTGCCTCACATGCCAGAAGAGCTATGCAAGCTCACTGCTGAAGGCATGCTTCCCGGCTGTCCGGGCTTCACGATAGGAGACCTGGTGACACAGTAGCCTTTAGGCAGAGCTCCTGGGGATGTGCAGGAAGTGCAGCTACAGGTTTTGTCAGGGGGGAAATCTGAGCCATTTCTCTGTGGACAGCTGTGTGGCAGAGTCTGGGCAAGTTGCTGCTGAATTTTGCACAGGCTGCCAGGGTAAGTGTTTTCCTTTTGATTTGTTAGTCCTGGTTTTCCTTCTCCTGAGTCATCAAGGTTCTTTCTGGAAGTTTCACAGGACTTATTATTATGCATTATCTAAAGTGGGATTCAGAGGATTCGTTCTAATGTATTTGTAATCCAACTTTTCTTTCTCTTTCTCTCTGCAGAGTTTGTGGAGGTATAATACTTTGTCATTATGCGATGTCGTCTCTCGGTCCCTCCTTTGTGCAAATTAAATTTGATGACTTGCAGTTTTTTGAAAACTGCGGCGGAGGAAGTTTTGGGAGTGTTTATCGAGCCAAATGGATATCACAGGACAAGGAGGTGGCTGTGAAGAAGCTACTCAAAATAGAGAAAGAGGTAAGGTCTTTTCTTGCTCTCAGAAGTGGTCACAATGGCACTTATGTAAGTTTTTCAAGCTAGAGTCAGAGGTCATAGGCTGCCAGGGACCTAGCAAGGCCTTTGGGGCTGATCCGAGAGGCCCTTTCCCAACTTCCATTCCGGGAGCCCCATAAATAGAAATTATTGCTGCGTGTTGCTTTAGAGTTGAGTTCTACTAGGGGTCATCTGAACTGAGAGGATTTCTTTCCATGGCATGAAAGACCAAATGTTCTCTGAACTGTCCTGGCGGGGAGGTAAGATTTCAGACCTTTTCTTTTCCCTAATCAGCCAAGAGGGGTCAGTAAAGAGTAATGTGTCAAGTTTTCAACCCCTTTCTATTTTCTGCCTGTGATTTTGTAGCCATCAGGAGTTGTCTTTTAAAATAAAAAGCATTTCCTACTGAAATATAAGCAATACCAGTGTTTTGTATTTCACCTCTGCTTGAAGCCAAAAGTGATGGACTTTGTTTAATAAAGAATTAACAGACAGAGCTGCCCTACTTAGAAAACCAGAAATGGCTTTCAGAGTCTGGGATGTGTGCTGGTCCTAGTCAAGCTCAAAGCTCATAGGCCCTTCATCTTAGGAATGTGATACATCACCCCAAAATTCAGTGTGGTACCTTGAAAGTAAAGCTGATTGTGGGGCTGACTTGCAGGGGCTCAGTGGCATTGATAACCTTTAATATCTACCCTCTGGAGCTTGTTTCAGTCATTTCTATTTTTCTTTTTCTATATCTATTTCTATTAGTCCAGTTTTGGCTAATTATTGTTCTTTTCAGTATCTTGTAAAAGTGAACTTTTCCATAAATATCATTTAATCTCCCTGAGTGATTTCTTTTTTTTCTCATTAATTGCTGCCAGTGAACCGTGGCTTTTGATGAGAGAAGGAAACCCAAAAGGCAGCACTTCGTGCCCTTTCCCCCGCAGTGCTGTGTGACTGTGACTGTGTGATCACCAGCAGTGTTTCTGATTGCTGAAGCCAGGTCGGAGGACAAGATACCTCTGCCTTGGCGAGCTCTAGGCTGTGGAAAGCTTAGGAAGCGAAAGCTGTTAAAGACCATGTGTGCGCAAAACAGAAGGGCACTGTGCAAAACAAGTTTCCTCCTCCTCACTTCTTGATCAGCAGCTTTTTAAATAGTAGCCAAATAATAAAACCATTGCTTACTCTGAACTGAACCTAGCTTCTTTTATCTAGTGAACTCTTAAAGCCTTTATCGAGAGCATTATTATACTTTTTTTTATAGAGTGAGAAATAGAGCTTTGAGAAATGTGTTGAGCCTCCCCCAGGAAGGGGCAAGAGAGATCCAGGAGATCAGATCCCCTGTTCTTTTTAATTTTTTTAACTCTGAAGCCTCTAGTTGACCAGATTAAGAATAGAAAAGAAGTTCCATCAGATTTTAGTCAAGGAAGTATGTAAGTGTGCATTAGGTCATGCAACTTCAGTCCAATAAACATGTCTTTATAGGATTATTGGATGTGGACTTTATGAGACATGAAACAGACTTTGATAGGAAAACAATAATTGCAACCCATTCCCTGCACCCCCTGCCCATACTTAATACCTTTTTTACTACCTTTGACAGAACCAGGAAAATGACATAGGAAAGCACAGGGGTGAAAGCAGGAGCTGGAAACTGCCTGGTCCTACTCTGGTTTAGGCTTTTACCCTGGGTGGGTATCGTTCTGAAGTTGAGTTGATTACAGTAAACTGCAGGAGCATAACTCATAACTGTAAGTAGGGAAAACAGAAACTCTGTTTCAGCTCTGGGGCTTGGTTTAGTCAGTGGCAGTCAGTGATAAAGAGACATGGTAAATTATTACGGAGCAATAGTGCATCCCACACTTACTGAATCAACATGAGTTTAAGATGTACTAAATTTTTGCGAGGGATTGGCAGTTATTGGAAAGGGAATATGCATTTCTTATGTAAATATTTGTTATACTTTATGAGCTAAGTATTGGCTTGCTGCCTAGATGTTTTCTAAGTGGTGAGATAAAGGTAATAGTCTGGATTTTCTTTTATTTTATAGATTCAGTTTTATGCCACTTGGTCACTTTTGCCAATGAGTTTTAGAAGCAATGGAATATTTAATAATATGTTCATAGATCACGCATGTAATTCTTTAAGAATGACCTCATATCTGATTAAATATATGTTTTATGAACTTAGTAAAAGGTGGAGAAAATATAGACCAAACTCTTTAACATGGTTTATGTGAGAGGATAGAGGAAGACTATTTATTTTCACTTTATTTATAGACCTCTAGTTTAGTGAGTATGTATTGCTTTCTTCTGCTTTAGTGCATATATATTACTTTTCTAATTTAGAAAAAAGAAAAATAGCATTTACTTAAAATCTCAGTAGTTCTTTAAAACTTTATTTTTAAGAAACTTTTATACCTAGGGAAAAATGATAAGAATAGTGCATGAATTCTGGCATACGCTTCCCCTAAAATCACCACGTATTCACATTTTGCAACATTTGCTTTATTTATTTATTTATTTATTTATTTATTTATTTATTTATATGTATTCATACATATTTTATTTTTTTACTGAATCATGAGAGTAAATTGCAGATGCTGTATCCCTAACATCTTCCAAGAACACAACTAATTCAGAAGTTTTAACATTGATTCAATAATAGTACCTATTATACAATCTGTATTCAAATTTTGCCAATTGTCCCAATAACGGCTTTTTATGGCAATTTTTTCCCAACTCAGGATTCAACCTAGGATCACATACTGCATTTAGTTAATATATCTATTAGTTTGCTTTAATCTGTAACAGTTCCTCTGCCTTTCTTTATCTTTTAAACTTTTTACAGAGTGCAGGACAGTTTTGTAGACTGTTCCTCATTTTGGATTTACCTGATTTTTCCCTCTCTCTTGCCTGGTTTAAGGCTGTGTCGCCTTGGTAGGAATGCTACAGAGGTCATGTATCCTTGATGTATCTCAGTGAGAGAATACCTATGTCAGTGTGTCCCATTATTGGTGACATTAATTTTGAACCCTTGATTAAGGGGTGCTCATCCAAGTTGTCCACAGTAAAAACACCTCTTGTCCCTTAGAAATTAATAATTAAGCTGTTGGTACATACTGTAAGGCTATGTAAATACTTCCCTCAACAAACATTACCCCATGTTATTAGCATTTATTGATGATACTTGTTTGAATCAAATATTATTTTGACAGTTACTCTGTAGAAAGCAAAAATTTCTAGCATAAACGAGTCTTCCTTTCTTTTTTCCTTCCTTCCTTCACTTATTTATTCATTCACTTATTCATTTATTTATTGTTTCATTGTAGATTTCTGGATTCCTTTTCAAACTCAAAATGTTACAGTCTATTTTATTATTTTTTACTTTCATGATTAAATTGTCCTTGATGTAGCAAGTAAGAATCTCTTCACGATGGCTCCTGTATCCCTTTTTCTTTTTTTAAGATCTGTTAAATTGATTTTTGAGAGAGAGGAAGGAAGAAGGAGAGAGAGAAACATCATGTGAGAGCGAAACATTGATCGGCTGCCTCCTGCACACCCCCTACTGGGGATCGAGCCATGACCTCCAGGTTCATGCATCGATGCCTAACCACTGAGCCACACTGGCTGGGGTGAAAGGGTTTTATAGTGAACATTTGTATATCTGCCATCTAGGGTTTGTCATTAACGTAAATACTTGCTTTATCACATATAAACCCAGCTATATATCCCTCCATTCATCAATCCACTTTGATGTATTTCAAAATAAGTTGGAGGCATCAGTACATTTCCCCTTAAATTCCTTTAAAGCAGGCCTGTTGTTCCAGAGGTCACTATGCATTTGCAGTTTTGTTTTCTTTTGAGGTAAAATTTACATGCAAAGAAAAGCACGTGTCACTAAGTTTTGACAAATGTGAACACCATGTGACCCATATATTTACTTTTATAATCAGAAAAAACTCAAAACAGTGTAGCTCTGACAAGCTGAGGCACTTTCTAAGGTGGTTCGAGGGGATTGAGTGTTATAAACCTCTGTAGTATGTCACAAATCACTAATTTTCCAATCTCAATACATGCCTTTAAAATGTTTAATGTTTAGTTTTCCATAGTAATGCTATAGGATTTTCAGTGGTAATTTAGCTTGTTTATGTTAGTTGCAGATTTACTTGTAGTGCACTATTTATTTTTGTTTTAAAAAAGTTTCCAACAGGAAAAAAATATATATAATCTGAAGTATATATACCAAAGGTAAGAGAAGAAACCATCATTGTATCTTTTTTGTAAATTTCAGTTGAGCTGAGATCAAATCAAACTGCTGAGGCAGAAATTGAAGCAAGGAGTGGAGAGGGCAAGGAAGGACATTGTGGATCACAGTGTCCTCTCCCAGCTGCTGCTGACCCAGAGGACAGTCCCCACACACAAGTGTTCATCAGCCTCACAACATGGGCTTTCAGATAGGGCCCATCAGAACAGCTCATTTTACCCTTGCAATACATTTGATGATATGTAGAACCAGACCTGTCTGTACATGGTATTTTTTTTTCCATCTGAGAGATGGAAACCTGCAAGCATTTGCTTTAACTTGAGATTTGTTGATATTCAGCTGATAGTAGGAAACCAGATTTAAGTATGAGATGTGAAAGAAACACGATTGCCTTTCATTTCCCCAAAAGAATTGAAAGGAAGCAGAATCCTCAAGAGGTGAAATACGAGGCTTTTTCTGCATTTGCTTTGCTTTTTGCAAGGCACCACTCACTCCCTTTATTTAAAAAGATCTTTTTCCTTCCAAATTTGACTGTTGTGGAAATGTTGAAAGCCATATAAATTCAAATTTCAAAACTGTCCCATGTTGTAAATATTTATAGATAAAGAGAGATGATAAAAAAATGGCAAAACTGATCATAAGAACAGGAGCTATCAGTAACTTTTTATATAAAGGGGAACAGATCCATGTGAAATAGAAAACATAGTCTCGGTATTGACACAAAACTAGGAAAG